GGAGATGTACCTTCTTCCTATATTTTAATACAATGTTTATCCGATATTGATCCAATATTAATAGAAGATATTTGGCAATAACTTTTATTTATATTGATATGTAATATTTATCCAATATTGGTAATATATATAAGGGATCTACTTAAGTAATGCTCTTATTAATTAATAAAAGTCTTATTTTTATGAATTAGTTACAACTGCTTCTCACCGAATGGATGATGCAATAATATAATTAATTAATCGTTTATATATATATAATATTTCACCTTGTAATATAAGGACTGTCATCATTATATCCAATTAATATTTTCATAAATTAAATAATATGTATGCTCATTCAATTTACTGTTTCAGGTGGTCACAGTACATTCTTTGGGTTTTTAAACACGTTTGTGCATATAGTTATGTATAGTTACTATTTACTAGCCGCATTTGGGCCCCACATGCAGAAATATTTGTGGTGGAAGAAATATCTAACAACGTTGCAAATGGTAATTATCTAATTGTTTTAATTGTTTTTGTAGCAGTAGCTAATGTTCAATTAGAATTCGATCTGCAATAGTAGGTATAATTGTTTTTGACACGATATCTCTTATTGTAAATAATCTAGATGTATATTGGCGTGATATTTTTAATTTGCAATCCAGAAAGAAAGTAAATTAATAAAAATTATAGTCTTTCTCAAAATACGTCATTCGTTTCAACTCATTTAAAGCATTCCGCCTCTTCTTATCAAACTGTAGATGATGTTTTAACAACCCCTTTCCATCAGTATGGTCTTCTTCCTTCTAATCTGATCTAAATATCATCATCATCATCATAAGGTCATCAGTCCTAAGACTGGTTGGACACGTACCTCCACTCTTTCCTATCCTGAGATAAACTTCGCATTTCCCTAAAACTAGAACAGCCCACATCCTTAACTATTTGCGAAGAGTAATCTAATCTAGGTCTACCTCTACCCCTCCTAACTCCTGTTTCTGCCTCTAATATGTCTCTGACTAGACCTTCATGCCTGAGAAGGTGTCCTACCAACCTATCTCGCCTATTTTTTATTGACTTCCATAGAGTCCTCTGTTCTCCTATTCTTTCCAATACCTCTTCATTTCTAACCTTTTCTACCCACGATATCCTCATCATCCGCCTATAACACCACATTTCGAACGCTTCTAACCTTTTCTTTTCCGCCGCTCCCACTGTCCATGTTTCGCACCCGTACAACGCCGTGCTCCAAACATACACCTTTAACAACCTTTTTCGAATTTCTAAATTAACCGTTCGCGAGCATAGAAGTGACTTCTTTTTATTAAAGGCGACACGACCCTGCGCTATCCTCTGCTTTATATCCCTACTACTCCTTCCATCCTCACTTATCTGACTTCCTAGGTATCTAAAATCAGCCACTTCTTCTAATTTTTCGTCTCCTATCTTTATATTCGCTCTTTCCCTACTTTTTCTTCCCTTGCATATCAGTATTTTAGTTTTACTTTTATTTATTTTCATACAGTACTGATCTGTCAGTACCGCTTCCATTTTATTTAAAGCTATCTCTAGGTCCTCCTTGCTAGATGCTAATACTGCTATATCATCTGCAAATCTAAGCATACTAATCTTTTGCCCTTGCACATCTATCCCTACAGTTGTACTGTCTTTAATGATGTTGATGGCGTCTTCGATGTATAGATTAAAAAGTAGCGGTGACAGTGTGCATCCCTGCCTGACTCCCTTCCTAATATTTACTTCTCTACGTTGCATCCCCAGCTCTATAACTGCCTGTTGCTCTTTATACAAACTAAGTATCACTCTTCTATCTTTGTAATTCATCCCTACATTTTTAAGTATATTTAACATCTTGTTCCATTTAACATTGTCAAAAGCTTTCTCTAAATCTACAAAGCCTATGTACGCACTCTTTCCTTTTTCTATCGTTTTCTCTATTGCTACCCGCAAAGCTAGAATGGCCTCCCGCGTTCCTCTATTTCTTCTAAACCCAAATTGATTTTCCCCTAATAGTTCTTCCGCCCTTTTTTCCATCCTCCTCTGTACAATTCTAGTTAAGATTTTTGACGCATGGGAAGTTAATCTAATATTATCTTCATCGACCCCTTTTTACTTTGTTTTTCTTTCTATTTAATGTTTCCAATTAAGTAGCCCTTAATGCCTCAGAAGATGTCCTACCGTTCGACGTCCTTTTCTTTATTTGACTCTTTCCTATTTCTACTCCCACCTCTTCCAATAACTTTTTCTATCCTGATACCTGACGTGGTAGATACTGAAAATAGGCGACTTCTTCTAGTTTTTGTCTCCAATTTTTATAGTGGCTTTAACCCTACTTTTACCTCCCTATAAAGTATTTTTTTTTTTGAAATTTATTTCCATTCATGCTTTTCGTTAACACCACTCTTAGATCTAAATATACTAGTCGATTTTAATATAATAGGTTACATTATTTTACATATACTTATTAGAAAAAACAATATTTAATAACAAATTCTTCATTATTTTTCAGATTCAGTTTGTTCTTATAATGTTGCACGCCTTTCAATTGTTATTCATCGACTGCAACTACCCCAGAGCGTTCGTTTGGTGGATTGGAATGCATGCGGTCATGTTCTTCTTCCTGTTCAAAGATTTTTACAACCAGGCGTACAACAGTAAAAAGAGGAAAATGGAAGCAAAAGCTGCAGCAGCAGCAGCGGCAGCGGCAATAACATCGAACGGAAAAAATAGCGAGCAGCAAAAACAGCAAAACGGTTATACGAAACAAAACGGCGCTGGCGTCAAAAATGCTTCAGAGTACTACTCAAACGGCCACATTTCTGAAGCTTATTTAAGGACATCAAAGGTCCAGTGATATACTGTTGTAGGTATTTAACTAATAATATAATTGTTAAAAATTAATAATTAATATAATAATGAATTGTTAGCGTAATTTAATAGTGCAGTTGTTTTTGTGAAGGACTTATTCTGTAGACTTTTATTATTGTTTTTTTTTATTTGTACAGAACAACTATTTGTTGTTAATTGTTTCATTCGAAGTTGCTCAATTAATTGTTGGACCTTTCCATAGTAAATAATAATTGTAACCTACATTTTAAGAACACGTGGCCTTGTTGAATAGGTGCTATAATAAATAATATAAAAAGGAAAAAAAAATAAAAATTAAATTTCTGTATAGTGAGCTGTTACGGCATTATAATGTTCGAGCATGTGTAAAGTATTTTTATAGCGATACAGCAATAGTCGAGAGAACTTTTTGTTACATTTATACTAGTCTGTTGATCAGAGAGAAAAAATGCAATAAAACAAATCATACATTTTATTATTACTTTTGATTTTTATTTGCAAATCCCACTCAAACAGTAAACACTAAAATGCTTTATACAGCACTAGTGACCCGCCCCACCTTCGCACGGGTGCAATGCTGATAGTAAATATATTTTTGTTTTGTTTAGATTATTATCGAGAAGGGGAAATATCCAAAAGATACCCCCTGAACATACTAAATATACTACAGAATGTCTTTATATACAACATTCACAGTTTTTTTGTCATTAGGCAATACAAACCGGCCTCCCTGGCGGTACCGCCGCAACCGCTATGTCCCTGCATTTTAAATCTGTAATATCTTCGAAAATATTCATTTAAATTACATGCTATAAAGGGCCATATTGATCTATATTAAATGCACAATGTATTTAAAAGTAATTAATTGGATAAGGATTAATCCTGTANACAATTGACCTGGTTCGAGCAACAATCAAATTCCGGTTGCGGACGAAGACATTCTGAAAACGGTAATAACAACTCCATTTGGATTATTCCAATTTCCGTTTATAAATTTCGGCTTACGCAACGCCAGTCAAACATTTCAACGATTCATAGACGAAGTATTACGTGCCCTCGACTTTTGTTGTGAAGAACGATTATCAAGATTTGATATAAGTTTACCGAAGTTTTTAAACATAGTGATTTGTTTATACAGTACATTGAATTTCCGTCAAGTAAAAGAAGAATCAATCAATTAGATAAAGTCTAAATTAATTTGATTACAAGCTTTCTGTTTGGAAAATGTAATGTGTTTACCTTTTATACTATATGCATATACACACGAATACATTTGTTTTCCTATGTATGCCTAAAATAATAAAAAGAAATACAGTAAGTCCCGCTTAACGCTGTTTCGTTTAGCGCTGTTTCGGTTTAGCGCTCTTTTATTTCAACCAGGTGAATCCCCGAAATTGTGTGCAGCGCTAGGTTTCCAAATATTAGTGCTGCATTGAATTTGGCAACTTCAACAATAAGGACAATTCTTAAGAATAAAGAAAAAATACTGTCATTGGCAACTGCAACTACGTCAAGCTCTGCAACTGGAATTACCCGTTCTAGAAATAACATTATAGAGGAAATGGAAAAACGACTGTCTATATGGATTGAGGACAAAATTAAACGCAATATGCCATTAAGCCAATCTATCATAATTAAAAAATATACAAGAATTTTTAATTACATTCAGGTTGAGGCAAGTGACATAAGTGAAACCTTCGTTGCTAGTATAGGATGGTTTAATAGATTTACACATCGAAATAATCTTCACAACATAAAGATTACAGGAGAAGCAGCAAGTGGTGGTACGAAAAGGAAATTATCCTCCAGAATTGGTTTTGAATGTTGATGAAACAGGCCTGTTTTGGAAAAGAATGTCAAAACGAACATTTCTATCCGGTGAAGAGAAACGAGCACCAGGATTTAAAGCCGCAAAAGAGCGCTTAACACTTCTACTGGGTGGTAACTCAAATGGAGATTTCAAATTAAAACCACTACTAGTTTACCACTCCAAAAACCTATTAAAAAATTTTTATCCATCTTCCCCTAACACCATTATTTACATGTTAAGATAGCCTCGTTTAGCGCTATTTCGCATTACGCTCTACTTTGATGGAACGTATCCTACGCGTTAAGCGGGGTCTTACTGTACTAGATAGAATTGAGCGCCAAATATTTCGATATAGTACAGTCATCATCATAAGATCATCAGTCCTAAGACTGGTTGGACACGCACCTCCAGTCCATCCTATCCTGAACTAATCTTCGCATTTCCCTAAAACTAGAACAACCCACATCCTTAACTATTTGCGAACAGTAGTCTAATCTAGGTCTACCTCTACCCCTCCTAACTCCCGTTTCTGCTTCTAGTTGTCTCTGACTAGACCTTCATGCCTGAAAAGGTGTCCTACTAACCTATAGCGGTTAGCTCAAAATCCACCGTGAATCCCGGTAATCAACATATCAATCGTGTATACTATCAAGTTCAAACTTGGTTAGGGAATGATGTAGAACCCTAGCAGTGGGGTTGTGTGCTGCAAAATGAACTCCTGGAACTGATAATGACAATATTACCACCAGCTCTAGATGAACTACTGGACACAATATTTTGCAAAAGCGGAAACAGGAAATTTGAGTCACAATGTTCTTTAGCTTGTGGCCAGTGTAATGGGCGAACGTACTTTAATGCTTCATGTAGTGTATCAAAATCATCTCGATGAAGAAAGAACATTTGATCCCGAAATTCTTGACAGTTTAGAAACAAACATCCTTGAAAACAAAGATGATTATAATAGACTAGAAATTTTCAAGCGACAGGAAGACGATGATGATGAAGAAGAAGAAAAGTTGTAATTATTAAAGTTTGTGTAAATACTCCTTAAATTTGAACTTCAACTGTAGTCAATGTATGATACGTAATTGTTAAATAATTAAAATTTATCTACTCTATCAATTTCTATTTAGATATATTAGAATATAATTAGTATACGTAATATACGAAAAATATTATAAAATGTCATATATTAATTAATAAATAATACAAATTACTTGTAACTATGGATTTTTTAGCAATTAATTAACAATATATGATGATTAATAATCGGGACATCGCAATAAGTGTACCGTGAAATCCACACTGCCAACTTCCCAATATAAAACAATACATAAATTTTTTTTTGCAAGAAATTTACAAGAAGTATTTTTGCCGCCCCCACATTTGCGCCGTCCGGGGCCCATAACCCTCTTTGTCTCCCCTCCTCTCTACGTCACTGTGAACTGGAGAACGGAGAAAATAAGAAAGGAAATTTGCTTAAATATTAAAGCGATATTAACAATTTATCCCACTATCCCGTTGCTTAGTAAGCGAAAATAATAACAATTACAATTTGGACCCGAATTTGAAAAAAAAATCCCAGCAGAGATAAATTTTCCAGGTATTATAGTTGAGATTACAAATTAAATTGTAATAATTAAAAAACTTGANAATTCAACCATTTACAATAGAAAATTGTAATTTTTGCCTATTTATATTTATATTATTTATAAAAATTTAGTTTTCTCCGTGAGAACGTAAGTCATACATAATGATTTATGTACATAACTAACACTGTTTATTACAAAATATTATACATTCTAGTGTTTGTTGTAATATGAAACAGTAAGAAACATAGAAGTTTTCAAATCCAGAGACGAACAAGGTATTCAGGATTTTGGTACTTATCACATTTCAAGTCTCTGGTAAATACCAGCCACAAAAACGTCAAAAATGATGCCGAAAACGAAATAGCTTTTTTATAGCAAAATTCCTTTGAAAAAATTAACAACAGATTTATGGTAAACAAGCATTTTTACTTGAATTTTGGAAGTGACAATTAAATGCAAAGTAGATCGGTTAGGTTAAAAAATTAGCAACCGTTTTATGGTAATCAAGCATTTTTACTTGAATTTTGGAAATGAGTATTAAATGCAAACTAGATAGGTGACTGTGAATACGTTCGTTAAAAAGAAAATGAAATATCAAACACTATTTTACACTAAAATAATACCAAAGCTCTATAAGGGAATTTAAGAAGTCGTCCACTAATTTTGATTGGAATTTTGTACAGGTGCAAAACATTTGGGGTGGCAATTTTTATTGATGTTACAATTTTTGTTATTATTAGCTATTTAGTTATGTCTATTCAAAATATTTTTATGATAAAGAAAAAACAGTTCCAGTTGTTATCTATTTGGTACGGAGATCTAGTAAAGGAGCTTTGTATAAGGATTAGTTTACACGGTGCGAACCCTTCAATATTAAATTATTACTTTCTAGTAGAAGTTTTTCGTGTATCACAATAATTTTTAGTATTTAAGGTCTAATAGTCACTTTAATTACAGTAAGATCAGTGACACTATTTGTTAAATATTAAATTATTATTTTTCAGGGGAAGTTGTTCTTGCTCCACAATAATTGTTTGTATCCTCATCGTAAAAGTCATTTAAGGTAGGATTATGCTTATGAGCTTATTTGTCAGAGGATGAAAGGGTTATTTATACGGTGTTTTACCCTTTACTATTTATTTATTATTTTTCAGTGGAAGTTTTTCTTGTCCCACAATTTTGTTTTTTTTTTAATCTTAGCTGTAAGAGTCATATAAAATAGGGTTTGAAAGGTTTCCCATCCTATAAAGAACATTTAGATCGGTTAAAAAATTATGTAATGGACACAATCATACTTTAAAGGATATTTGGGACTACAATACAAAAAAAAATATTATGGGATAACAAGAAAAACCTGCACTGAAAAATATTAATTTAATGTTTAGGAGTTTCGCGCTATACAAATAACTCTTAGAACCGCTGACAGATTATCTCAAATTCCTACTTCAAATCACTCTTACAGGTATGATACAAAAAATTATTTTGGGACAACAACAACTTCCTCTAAAAAATAATATTTTCTCACCCTATCAATAATCATCAGGCCTGTTGACAAATTATCTCATAGGCATAATCCTACAATAAGTGGCTTTTAGAGCTTAGTTACAAAAAATTATCGTGGACAAGCAAAACTTCAACTGAAAATCATAATTAAGTTATTCTCGAGGGGTTTAGCACCTTATAAGTAACTTTTATATCCGCTGACAAATTATCTCGTATGCATAATCCTACCCTAAATGACTCGTAGAAGTAAGACACAATTTTTTTTTTGTGGAAGAAGTAGAACTATCCCGGAAAATTAATAATTCAATATATAGTATAGCACCCTATAAATAACTCCTAGACTCGCTAACAAATCATTATCTCATAGACATAATCCTTCTTTAAATGACTCTTAGAACATACCTAAGAAAATTATTGTGGGACAAAAAAAATTCAATTAAAAAATTGTAATTCAATATTTAAGGGTTTCGCACCCTATAAATCATACTTAGACCCGCTGACTAATTATGGCGTAGACTTAATCCTGACTTAAATGTCTCATACAGCTCAGATACAGAATATTATTGTGGGACAAGAAAAACTTTCCCTAAAAATCATGATTTTATATTGAGGGGTTCAGCACCCTATAAGTATCAGTAGCGAGCACGCGCGTGTTGGTGTGCGATCGGCCATACGTGTGTGTGATCGGTTTATGGATTCGCCGACTAGCCGCGGGCGCCTTTCTTCATGTGCGCCGTATCTGTAAACGTGTGTGTCGTATCTGCGTTCCGGGAAAGCAATTAAACAGTTCAAAGAAAACGAAACTTTTTCGGACGGTTCGAGAAAGTTCCCGAAAGGGAACAAGGGAGTATTTAAAGGAAGAGACGATCGCCGAGCGTAGAGAAATAAATTGACCGTTGCAGAAGTGAATCTAGAAATAAATTGACAGCGCAGTGAATAGTAATAATTTAATAGTGTTTCTAAGTTTAATAATAATTAGAAAATACCACAAATGGCGTGGTGATCGCCATCTGTAGTACGATGCTACATTTTAGGATTACGTATGCATTTGTGGTATTTTCTAAAACGCGCTGTTAAGACAGCAGGTAAAGGTTGGCCTGTGTTCTGTTGGAGCTGCCTGCGACGCGCTGATGAGATCCAAAAAGATCGAAATCGCGATCCGCGTCTGGCAATTTCGACAGAATACAGACCACTTCGAATTATTTTGTTCAATAATAATTAGTGTAAATAATTAATAATTTTTGTCGTTGTGAGTCTTAAAAGTTAATTTGTTAAATTCGCGAACATTACAGTATCCTTTAGACCCGCGGAAAAATTACTTTACGGTTCTATTCATAATTTTAAAGACTTTGACAGACTGGATGTAACAGAATAATTGAAACAAATTCTCCTGAAAAATAATAATTTAATATTGCAGGGTTGCGTACCCTACCAACAATACTTAGACCCGCAGACAAATTATCTCAAAGACATAATTCTTCTTCAAATGACTTTTAGAGCTTAGTTACAAAAAATTATTGTGAAACAAGAAAAATTTCAACTGAAAATGATTATTGAATATTGGGTTGTTTCGCGCTCTATATATAACCCTCAGACCAGTTGACAAATTATTTCATACGCATTATACTACTCAAAATGTCTCTTAGATTTTAAATACAAAAAATTATTGTGGGACAAGAACAACTTCCCCTGAAAAACAATAATTTAGTACTGGACAGTTATGCATCATATAACAAATCCTAGAAATTATTTCATGGTTCTACTTTAATTTTAATCACTCTTTGAGCTTAAATACAAGGTATAAGTGAATAGCAAAGTATCGGCGGATGTGCTTTAAGCTCTATGCTGTTTGATGTATTTATTGACAATATTGATGATAACAGGTACGAAAAAAAGAAGGAAGGGTGATGATAGGCAAAATTCAAATAAATGTAGTTGTGATAAAACGTTGGTAGGTTCATATTCAAACTATATTCTGTGTTAGTGTCTGATTAATTTAAGGTACCATATCTCAAAAAGGAGAGTTTTCACGGTTTGGCGCCTATGATCTAAATGTCGAGAACTACCAGAAACTTTTGACAGAGGGCCATTTTCCTTAAGGATCTAGAGGGGTCCTTTAAAAACAAAAACATTGAAATTGTGAACGAATTTAAATATTTAGGGTCTGGTTTATAACAAATAATAGCGTGATTAAGCATATAGAAAGGGTGGTAGGAAGTGCTTTGAAAGCAGCCAATTCCATATGGAGCGTAATGAGAAGGGCTGGTAGGGATAGGTGGTACTAATGAATTCTATTGTCAGAGTGGTAGCTTTTTATGGAGTAAACGTGTAGGGATGAAGCAAATTAGGAATTTTGAGTAAAGTAGAAACAGGACATTGCAAAATGGTGTTAGGAGTGGCAAGAAATATATCAAGGTGTAAATAGAGAAATGTACTAGGCATAATCAGCATTGAGTTCACATCGAGGGAGAAAAAGCGTGGAAATACTTTAAGGATGTGTTCAGGATGGAAGATGATAGATTAGGTTATGCATTGGGGATGGAAGATGATAGGTGACTAAAGATATGTCTAGTAGAAGAAACGAGAACAATCTTAAACAATAAGCTGTCAACGTGTGGGGAGTATGGCAGGAGATAGAAGCGACCGAGTTTGTCAAATGATATGGGAGGAGTGAGGCAGAAATTGTTAGCAAAATTAGAGAAATGTTGAATAAAGTAGAAATTTTTGATAATTGTATCCACTATTGACAACCTTAGAATTGATACTTTCATATTATAGATAGGTATATATGAAAATTGGTAAAAAAGTTATTCTTTTTGTCGTTAAACAACACCATAAAACGCATACGTATATTAGTTATAAATAATATACATTCATATGTTGAATATATTGTTACTAATAAAACAAGACACCTAGCAGCTACTAATAGATTAATTATTTTAATTATTATTGTTGATCTCCCCTAAATCTAGGAAATTATCCTCTTAAAGTTATAGGTTATTACATGCAACAATTTGTTGCTTACACGTGCAAATGTATTGGTTACATTTCATGACTAATACATTCAAATTTTTACAATAATAACTAACATCTTACCTTATTCAAGCAGTTTATACCGTCTATCTGGGGTAAATTCTGTGGTTCATATTTTTCAAATCCAAATGCATTTTCCATAACCCTACACGACACACGTCTATCACTACCATTTACCACCGGCAAACTAACACTCAACTGACTCATGTTGTGTAGTTGTGTTCGTTTAATACAGCAGCACAGCTTTGCCAACTGCACAACAGTTTTTTTTGACTTATAGATGTATCAGAGAGATAAGATGTTTATTACAAGGATAGTTAAAAGGGCACGACCATAACAACAGAACTGATGTTAACGGGCCATTTAAAATTATTCATTGAGTAGACGTTATATCACAAATTGTAACTTTAAATTGCTTAAAATTAAATATGTGCATCACTCATTGTTGCGTATTTAAAGTCTAAGTTGGTACGGACAAGCAACATAATATTTTATGTATATACAGGGTGGTGAATAAAAAACGGAAGGTAGGAAATGCGTTTTTCCAAGTATGATGACGGTCCAAAGTGATAATACAGGTGCAATTATCCAAAAACAATTATGAAACACTTACATACTTACACACGTTTTGAATAAAATAAAATATCCATGATTTTGTTTTATTATAAAAAGATTATACACTGGAGAAGATATGTAGGTACATGGAGTATAAAAATATACATACGTATAAATAGTTATGACTAGGTTAAAAAAATTACACTGTTGAGAAGAAAAATACATACACCGAAGCCCAGCTTCTGGTGCACAAAAAAATTGAAAAACATGCATTCATGCTACCACTATACAATGTATGCTACATACAGATAAGTATCGTATTATGTTACCCATAACAATTATTCTGATTGCGATTCATGATTACTGTACCACCAAATGACAAAGTAGAGAATTTTTTTTTGCTTTTCGATAAACAATTGTTTTTTTTTTTGACATCGTACAAACACCATTCATTAGTTGATGGATTTCTATACGTTGATTTATTTTAATGCTGTTAAAAAAATATTGAGTATGATTTATAAAATTAATTCGTGATAATGATCTCGAAGTATTATCATAGACATTTATCTATAACCCAGATCTTTTAATATTGTAGTATTATTTAATAAAAGTATGTACCCAGTAAAAGGAGAAACATTCTGCAATAACACAGCAGACTTATAATTAAGGTCAATTAACCTTTTAAAACGATTCGTCGTTAGCAAAATTTGAGCAATTAAGTTTTATTAAAAAATAATAAAAAAGTATACTTAAGTTTTGAGACCAAACTGGCATTACATATAAGTTGTAGGTTGTATGTACAGGGTGTTTGGTTATATTTGGCACGTAACTATAATACTGTCAAGTTTTATACAGAGTGCTTAGTAAATATTGATTTGATTTATACTCAAAAACTGGTTTGCATATTTTTTATTTTGTGACTATCAGCTTCGCCAAATATAAACAATCACTTCGTGTAATAGTACGCGTTCAGGTACCCTTTTTTTCTAAATTTCTAGTAATCTAATTACCTAGGTAAAAAATACTACTATAACTAAATAGAACTGCTCGTAAAAATCACTGACTAAAATAACAGCACTTTTAAAAATTTCACTCTTCTGTAACGTATCGGTATAAGTCAAAATTATGGGTTTTGTTAGGTTAGGTTTCCGTCTGTGATTGTAATGTCACGTACAGGGAAGTGAGTTTTATAAAAATAAATTTAATTAAAAGCACTTTAGCTGCCTTAAATCACATCATGGAGGTCATTTACAATAAAAAATAAATTTGAAATATAAACAGTAAAAGGAATTTACTAGAGTACCAAGGTGGTTTGGTAAGGTACCCAAACATTTAAAAAACCAAAAAAATTTGGTGTAATAGACTTGACAGTTGGCAAGACGGTCGAATAACATGCTTTTGACGTTTTACAATGTATGAAAGCTTTTAATTAAGCATTTTAAACATAGGCGGTTTGAGTCGTTTGAGTCTTGCTTATTGATGAGTTTTTGAAAATTCAACAAATTACTTTAAGAATGTGCCATTATTTTTGATAATGTCACTGCCCTGTGTATTGGCTCAACATTGCAATAAATACAATTCTAAAAACATGCATCCGTATGTACAAGAATTGATTAGATTTAATAGAAGTGGCGTATTGACTATGACGTTTTCTTAACGGAGTTTCTGTTGTTTTTCCAATAAGTCACGTAATAGAAATGTGAAAAGAGAACGAAAAAAATTGTAGAATGAAGAATTAACAGCGGACCAATAAATCGGGGGTATCCACAGTCGATCCATATCAACTGGGCTGAGTGTATGAAGACAAGGAAGAATTGTATCTGAAATGAAATAAGTTTACTTATTACACGGAAATATGGCAAACGTAAGAATCTGGATTTAAAATATTTTTGTTGTTACATGTTTCATGTTATTCCAAAACCTTGTAAGATGACATAATAATTATATTTAATTCGAAAGAAATGTTTATGAAAACGAAAATTTAAGTAAAAAATACCAACCTAACTAAATTAGGTGAAAGGTGCCACCTGCGAAAAGAATTTCTTCGATATTTTAAGTACAATGAAATGACTCATTTTCTATGGGTGTAAGCAGAGGTGAATCTAGGTTCTAGGGTGACGCAAACAACGCATTCTGCATCTGGACCACGAGTCATGATTCATGGTTCTTCAAGTGGCCCGTACTTCAGTTATGTATTTATTGTTAAAATTGTTTTATAAATACTCTCTATCCGTAGAAAAAAACGTGTACATGGGACCCCAATTTTTAATACGGTAGGAATAAAAGCGGAAGGGTGTTGTAAGGTGACAATGCGTTTCGACGAAAACGTGTTATTACGAAGTCGTAGGAAATGAATTGTATTTTCGGGTTCTTTCACAGTGGTTCAAGCGAATTTAAACTTATATTATACACCTAAGTGCGACTGGGTGTCTTAAGGTAACATGAGTTTTAAAGAAAACGTGTTGCTACCAAATTGTAAGAAATGAAACATAATTTTGGGTCGTTTTTATCCAATTTTCAAATTTGAACGTACACCTCTCTACAGTGGTTCAAACGAATTTAAACTTATAGTATGCACCTAAGTGCGAAAGGGTGTCGTATAGTGACATGAGTTTTGACGAAAAAGTGTTACTACCAAATCATAAGAAATGAAACATAATTTTGGGTCGTTTTTATCCAATTTTCAAATTTGAACGTACACCTCTCTACAGTGGTTCAAACGAATTTAAACTTATAGTATGCACCTAAGTGCGAAAGGGTGTCGTATAGTGACATGAGTTTTGACGAAAAAGTGTTACTACCAAATCATAAGAAATGAAACATAATTTTGAGTTGTTTTTAGCCAATTTTCAAATTTGGACGTACAACTCTCTTGACAGTGGTTCAAACGAATTTAAACTTGTAGTATGCACCTAAGTGCGAAAGGGTGTCGTATAGTGACATGGGTTTTGACGAAAGCGTGTTATTACGAAATAGTAGGAAATGAATCGTAATTTCGGGTCCTTTTTAGCCAATTTCCTTGGATGCGCAACATATTTTACAACGATTTAAGCGAATTTAAACTTATATTAGGCACCATAGTGCGAGAAGGTGTCGTAAAGTGACATGCGTTTTGATGAAAATATGTTGTTACGAAATCTTTAGAAATTAATCGTAATTTGGGGTCCTTTGCACCCATTTTTCAAATTTATATCTGCAATTGTTTCTAGAGTAGTTCAAACGAATTTAAATTTGTAAATTTGTAATATGCACCTAAGTACGACAGGGTGTCGCAAAATGACATCCATTCTGACGAAAAACTGTTTTCACGAAATCATACGAAGAAATTCATAATTTCGGACCTTTTTCAGTTAATTTACAAATTCAGACCACAAAATTTGGTTTTGCGAAAACGAAGAAAATTATTCATAATTTTGGGTCTGCTTTAACAAATTTTGAAATTTAGATGCGCAAAATTTTAGTCGTTAATGTGCTTCGAATCATTTTAAATTTGTATGAAATAAACACGGCAAGGTGACGTTTACTAATGTTTTTGATGAATTAAAATTATTTGTTTTTTGTTTCACAATCGGAGCTGCTAATAATAATCGAATAATTAGCAATTAAGGGTTAAAATTAGTAACTTAGCAAATCAGTTCAAGTTGTTAGTAACAATAATTGAAACAATAATAGGTGTGTTCCGAAATATAACCCAGCATACTGGCCAGTGCTGATGATGTTATGAATCGGCGCCATGTTGTACTGGTGTGCCACCATATTGTACTGGTGAGACAAGTGTGATGTAGTAGTATATTAAACGGATGTGTGTGTATCTGACTTTGAGGAATTTTTTGTTGTAAGAAACTTTAATAACTTTTGGAGCAAAAGTGTTGTAAACGAGCACAAGCTCTATTCTCAATATGGCGTCAATTTGACGTCAAAGCACTGGTCAGTATATTTCGGAACAAATCAACAGTATGACGTCGATTCATGACGTCATGAGCACTGGCCACTATGCTGGGTTATATTTCGGAGCACAACCAATATATTAAGCTGCCTACGTCTACTTTATTTGTCAGTAAGAGTGACTCAGTATAATTATTGTATTACTTTTATTTTGAATTTAAAATATTTATACTTGAATAGAAAAATAAATCTTACAATTTTGTAAAGAGTCACGTATTTTTGTTTAAACTTACCAGTTGAATGTGAGTTAAATGCTTTTTCCACCACAGGTATTTTTGGTATTCTGGCCCCATAGCCGCCATCATGTAATAGAAATACATTATCACATGTACGATGTTGTTTATAAGGTTTGAAAAGGTTCCATGGCCACCTATAAAACAAAAATTAAATGTGAATAAGGATATGTATGTTTATTAAGCTAACATTTGAAAAGTATCACTCATCTATCTCTGTAACTTATCCCTAAATTTTTAAGTATATTTAACATCTTGTCCAGTTTAACGTTGTCAAAAGCTTTTTATTAATCTACAAATCCTATGTATTTGCTCTTCTTTTTCTATGGTTTTCTGTATTGTTACCCGTAAAGCTAGAATGGCCTCCCGCGTACCTCTATTTCTTCTACGCCCAAATTGATCTTCCCCTAATAATTTTTTCGCCCTTCTCTGTACAATTCTGGTTAAGATTTATGACGCATGGGAAGTTAAGCTAATTATCCTAAATGTTTCGCACCTATCCGCGCCTCTCTTTTCAAGTATGGTTACTACCACGTTCGGTTTATAATCTTTCGGGACTTTCCCCGTCTCGTGAATGTGATCAACGAGCTTAAACATATGATCTCTAACCTCTTGACCTGCATGTTTTAAACTTTTCGTCTGTATCCTATCTATACCTGGTGCCTTATTATTCATTAAGCTTTTTAATACTACATCGAATTCTTCTCTCATTATGGGATAACCTAATTCATCTATCTCCACACTATCTTCCTTCTCTAATATATCTCCTAACTCATGGCCTGCGTACAGATTCCCTAAATATTCTTTCCACCTGTCTGCCTTTTCCTCATTTTCTATCAAAACGACCCCTATCTCATTTCTAATATTATTATTACCGTACTTCTCTAAAATTCCTTTTAATTACATTATACGCCTCATCTGTTTTACTCACTTCAAACTTTTCTTCTACTTCTTTACACCTTATATCAATCCACTGTTCCTTAGATACTCTACACTTCCTAATTATTACCAGAAATAAATATATTATGTATACCTAAGTTATCATTTCAAAATATGCACTCATCAAAGTTAATTTACAGTATTGTTATGTTGTATTTGTTGCTGCTTTAAAAAGTTTCTTATTGTAATTTGATTAGCATCTATGTAACATAATTAGATGTTTTCGGTTCGCGCGTGTACGCTTCACACTACAGAAAATTAGTATTAAGATCATGTCGAAATGATAAAATTTTGCAATGCATTAATATGACGAAAATAATTTAAAATTCTGTGTAAAGCGACCAGAAGCTATTTAAGAGCGCACGATACTTTCTAACCAGTTCTCTGTAAGTTGCAAGATACGCTTTTTTAACTTAAATGGCAACACGGACCGCATGTGGCAATAATATAGACTGAACAGGTGAGGCTTAAGGAATGTGTTTGTGCTCGAACGGAGGAATACAGTGCCGGACGAAAGTAAATGTCGTCTCTACTCTACTAATGGAGAACAAACAAAGCAGTAGCAAGCAGGGTCGGATCCAGGATTTTGAGGAGTTGGTTGACAAAAATTTGTACCCTGTAAATGTCATTTGTGCTCTGATGGAGAACAAACAAAACAGAAACAGGCAAGGACGGACCCAGGATTTTGAGGAGTAGATTGACAACAATTTCTGTCCTGTAAATGTCATATGTGCTCTGATGGAGAACAAACAAAACAGCAGCAAACAGGAACGGATCAAGGATTTTGAAAAGGAGTGGGCTGACAAAAATTTGTGCCGATAATCTATTATCTGCAAATACACATTATTTTTTATTGATTTAATCGAAGACGAAATCTTTCAAGAGTTTTTCAAAAAGCTTCGAAATTTCAAAAATGATTGTAAAATTAAACTGTGAACTCTTTATTGTTACAAATTTAATAATTAATGACGCTCTGACATTCTGTAATAATAAGGTTAAATAAAGATTTTTTTTTTGTGTCTCAATTAGTTACATAGTATTTCAAACCCGAAAATGATTTGTCGTCAAATTTCAAAAATATATGCAGGGTTATCGAAAACTGACTGTAAATAAATTTTAAATTTTGGTTTTTCTGATTTTGGAAGGCAGTCCGGACACTTGGAATTTCCTTCCCTTTTAGATTCGCCACCAACTAAAAGCTATTCTACTATTTCAAACACACTAGGAGAATCAACTTAATTCTGATAGATTTGTATTGAAACAAGAAACTGCTTGGTACTGTACCGAAAATTTAGTTGCGCTTATTGTCTAAAACAACGTTTTTTGATTAGGGATTATAGGAATTCTTCAAACCTGGGAATTGTTCACCAGCATTATTATTATTATTATTGGAGTTTAATAAAAGAAATACTTGAGTGATTAGTAAATATGACCATGCGAATAAATCTCACCGTGTTTTTTTTTCTTCAAATTATTCAACAGATTAACAGTTTATTTTAAAATAGAAATTTAATAAAAAAATAATTAAATAACTAACTATATATTTGAATTCAGAGCATTTCTAATTCAAAAAAATAAAATAAAATAATTGTCTACATACTGATACCATATTTATATTCATTAAGGGCTTGGTTTTCGTTAAAAAGAGGCATACATTTCAGTTCTTATTGTAATAATAGGTTAACAAAATTACTGTAGAATTAATATAATGTTTTCTTTTTAATAAAATAAATTATAAAAAGGAAATGTCAACTGCACAATTGGAACCTTCGGTTTCGCGACAACATACAAGTTTATATTATATTACGTAGTACAGAAATGGTATTTAAATAAGTTATTATATAACTGTATTATGTAGTTGAGAAGTAATCAGAGCATCAAGTGCATATAAAATTATATATTTTCATAGACACCTTTTCAAGTATATTTATTACTTGTGAACCGTACATCTTTTGGTTGTGTCGCAAATGAGAATAGCAGTGTCAATTTACGTATCTAATACAGAACAGTAACCGCTTATGCGTCAATTAAGAACTTAAAGACAACACATCATCATCATCATAAGATCGTCAGTACTAAGATTGGTTGGACACGCACCATCGCTCTTTCATATCCCGAGCTAATCTTCCCATTTCCCCAAAACTAGAACAGAAAGAATCTGGGTCCACCTCCACTCCTCTTAACTCCTGTTTCTGCATCTAGTATTTCTCTGACTAGACCTACATGCCTGATAAGGTGTGCTACCAATCTATCTCGCTTATTTTTTATTGACTTCTATAGAGTCCTCTGTTCTCCTATTCTTTCTAATACCTCTTCGTTTATAACCTTCTATATCCACGGTATCCTCATCATTCGCCTGTAACATCATATATCGAACGCTTCTAATCTTTTCTTTTCCGCCGCGCCAACTGTCGATGTTTCGCACCCGTACAGCGCCGCGCTGCAAACATACACCTTTAATAATTTCTAAATTAACCGTTCGCGAGCATAAAAGTGACATCTTTTTATTGAAAGCTACACGACCCTGCGCTATCCTCCGCTTTATATCCCTACTACTCTTTCCATCCTAACTTATTTGACTTCCTAGATACCTAAAATCATACACTTCTTCTAATCTTTCGTCTCCTTTTTCTTCCCTTGCATACCAGTATTTTTGTTTTACTTTTATTTATTTTCATACAATCCTGTTTTGTCAATACCGCTTTCATTTTATTTAAATCTATCTCTAACTAGAGATGCTAGATCCTAATCTATCTGCAGTTGCACTGAGAGAATACAACGAGAAAAAGATTATTGAAGTCATAAAGTATTTACAATTAGTCAAAACTCATTTAGGCATTTTGCCAAATGACTTGAAAAATTTAGACAATTTGGAATGGTTTGATGATCATCGCGGCCGTATCGCCCTCTCTGCAGAAATTTGAACTGCATATTTACCATTTTTTCCCTTATTTTAAATTGTATAAAAAATAACTTGTAGGTTTATGTATTATATGTAAATTCGACTCTATTACCTATAAGTTAACAATTACAATTAGGATCTCAAAGTTTTGGGTAATTTTTGGTCAGTTAATTCGATTTCATGTTCTTTTGCTTGGTAGTGTATTTTAGTTGTCATGGTTTGAAAATTAATTTAGTTCGTAGTAGATATAATTTAATTGATATCAATTCCGTTACAGTAAATGATCATAGATAGCCACCATGCCCTGAATACAATTTATGATAGAGTTTTAAAACACATTGTACCAGGCAGCAATTGCTTTATTATATTCAAAACACAGATATGTCACTGCAAGCTTACATTATATACAGGGTGGCCCAAGAAGTACGCAATATGCTCATTTTTCGAGTCAAATGAGCCAAAAAGTTCGAGTGGAAATCACTTGAACGGAATCAAAAGAGAAAATATCGGTGCGATATTTCAACTATATAGTCCGTCCAAATGTGGATCAATAACAAATTATGGAAATAACTTACCAGCTAAGAACTTCACCAATATCCAAGTTTCTAGAGGTGTCAGACTATGATGATATAAGTGTAATAAGGTGATCTGGCTGTCTTTCTTACGAAGAACAAAGAAAACGGTGTCTGCGAATTCTGACAGCTTTGAAATATAATACCACCAACATAAATTGGCCATCTGAAATCCCAAAACAAAAGTCATTTACATTAAACAGTTTTCTACTTTAAGAAATGGGTACTAGAAAATAATCTAAATGAAAACAAAAACACTTATTGAATTTTTCTGTGTTCCAGTGTTCTTTACATTACCCAATCATGCATTTTCGCAAGTGGGCAACAAAAAATAAAAATGTCGAAAGAAACGTGAAATTTGTATCTTCAGTGAATATTTTGTCCTAAATGTGTAAGTGGGTGACCAGCAGATGACAGGTGTGAAAAGTTTTGTAAGGAAAAACTTCGTTTTTCAAATATTGAATCTAACGTTTTTACAAATGTATTTGAAATACAAGGTGTACAATACAAAATTTTTGTTATGGTTTTTGTTTTCACTTACGCGAGACGAGAAAATTATCTTAGATACCCTAGACAAAAATTTTCAGTCTCTCTCCAGTCTCTCAAAGTCTTTTAGAGTCTTTCAGCGTCTCTGAGAGTTTCTCTCACTGTCTCTCAGTTATTGCCTAGGTGTTTTTATGGACTCGAATGATAAAATTGTTAATTCAGAGACTCGAGTCTCTCACAGAGAGACTAATGAATAAAACTAAAAAATTGAGAAACTCGAGTCTCTCGTAGAAAGACTGGGATCTCTGAAATATGTTGAACTTAGAAAATTTTAACCATGTCTATCGGGACACCGCTTATTGAGAGATTCGAGTCTCTCGTTCAGAGACTGGGTACAAAATGAAGATCTCTCTATGAGCGACTCGAGTCTGTCGTTTATAGACGCTAAACGGTTTTTTTTTGACAGTCTCTCTTAGCGACACCAGAGAGACTCGATGAGAGACTCTCGCTTTCGGAGACTCTGAGAGACTGAACATTTTTATCTCGCGCGATTATCATTATCTTGTCTCTATTATTTTATTATTATTACTTAAAAACAGAATAAATTTTAAGAACAGAATAAGCTCTTCATTGAAACTACCAGACGTGAATTTCCTGGATTGTATCAATATATATTCATTTGGTTTACATGTCTAGATATAGTTGAGGCGATCAAAATTGGCGTAGTCCGCAATAAATTATCTGTAGTAATTTGCTGCGTTTTGAGCACGCCCTTTTTAAGTTACGAAATGCTTCATGAGTAGTACAGACAAAGTGAAAAGATATAACCGAATAATACTAAGCGGTGCAGCGGTTAGAGGTTGCTTAGGCACACTAAAGATCAGGGTGCGCTTTATAACTGTCCGGTTGGAACCTTTTAACCAGCGTCTTTGCTTTCCGACACCGCTAAACAGTTTTTTTGACAGTCTCTCTCAGCGACACCAGCGAAACTCGATGAGAGACGGAGACTCGAGTCTCGCTATCAGAGACTCTGAGAGACTCAACATTTTTATCTTGGGTATACAGAGGAGTTATCGATAATCTACCTAGGTAATTCGAGGGATTAGGTAAAGTCCAAAATAAAAGACAAATTTACCATAATATAATAATATTATTGGAAAGGGAATTCAAAAAATTAGAGGAAACTTATATTGTTATAATTCCAGAAAAAAACATTAGCAGAAAATCATATGGGTGCTTTTAGTCCTTCTAGACATAAAAAGTCCGAATATAAATTTCCGTTTTCCTTTCTGCACCCTTCTCTGCTTTTAATTTAAAGCATTTAATTTCATTATATTCTTATTAGTATGTGCTGTTATTATTATTATAAGGGAAGCTTCATTTAGAATATTTGTTAAATTACACTTACCCTTAAAGCTTTTTGATTCATGGAGTAGTCGACCGGTTGACATTTAAAGCTGTAATCTAAAAACCATCCACTCATGAGATGCTAAAAAGAGAAAACAAAACAATATTAGACTGTCAATGTAAAGTTCCTTCAGGAAATGATGATGACGTTGATGATGAATATATGAGAAATACTCTTGACTACCTGAAAAATTAAGTATTAGGTAAATTCTATAGGACGAAGGTATGCAGAAGAACAAAAATATATAATCAGTTACTGACTATATTTATCACTAACCTTTATTAATTTAAACATATTTTAAATTTGAAATTTAAAATGTAATATAAGTAATTGAATTTTCATTTCTTGTATAGGCTAATTGAAAGAAATTACTAAGGTAAGTACTAGTTAACGAAAAGTAGCTCGGCACAACTCCATTTAAAACGTTAATTATTGTATTAAAATTTAAGATGTTCATGAATTAATTTTTAAGTTTTTCAGTTTTATTTTGGGACCAAACACAGTTTTCATAAACTTTTTCTATTATACATTTACGATTAGTTTTAATTGAAATATATTACAAATTGGGATAATAAATTAATGTAGATCAGGAAATCAAGTATTTAAAGAAGTTGTGATACTTTGTCAGTTTTATTTGTAGAATTAGAATTGATATTTAAGCATATTATAAGAATTTTTAATATGTTTAATGTGGTTGCGCGTATGCAGAGAAGTATCAAAAGAAGTCAAAGTCAGCGAGGTATTACATGAGGTCCTTGAAAATAGTGTGAATGTGTAGCCTTGAAGAAGTTACGTCCTTGAAGTGAAAGCGACAGAACGAAACTGGTTACACAGTTAATGAATGTAACTCGTTACATAACGCAATTCTCCACGATGAATATGCTTGTGTACATAAATACAAATACTGAACTTGCTCGTACATCCAGAAAGAACTTCTTCCGGATAGAAATTTACTATTTTAAATATCCAAGGTAAAGGTCACGCATCTACTTGCGTATGTAATATGCAGACCTACACAGTATCGTGTCATTTAGGAAATAAGAACGTGTAAGAACATTACAATACAGTATGCGTATACAATTGTAGTATACGACGCTTTTTGTACTTGGATAAGATTATCTTAAGGGGTAACACCACTGCAACAACCGAAAGAAAGGGTTAATTTGATAGTTTTTTTTTGTGAAAGGAAAAACTATAGAGTAATACTATTTAAGGATGTTATTAGACATCAAAAATTTAATATCAACAAATTTAAAATTTAAAATGTTTCTACGGTAGGAACTGTATTTGGTGCAAATTTAAATGTGAAATAAAATCTACATGGCTGTAGTTACTGAAATACCTACGAGATTTTAAAAATATCAATTCCCTTCAATTTTCAATCAAAAAGTTACAATTTTTAAATACATATATTTTAATATAAAATACTAGTTTTTTCTATGTTTTGTTAATTAGTGGTGTTCCCTACTATAAAAGAGATTAAGTTATTTGGTGGGAATGATTTCTGTTAATTATGACTATAAAAAAAACGTTATTGCTATTAAAAAATATTTAACATCTGCTATCGTTCTGTTGGAAGTAGATAATTCGCAACATGGCCTGTCACGATCTAAGTATGGATCGATTGATCTGATTAATTTCAAAACAAATTATTTCCGTTGAATTATCGGTTACTCCGTTTCTTTTTTGTTGTACGAAGAAGATGCAACTAAAAATCGGCTTTAAAATCATCAATGTTTGGAAGAAAATTACGAATTTTTCAATTTTCTCTAAAATTTGGACATTCCCGGTAAAAGTAACATTAAAATCGTGGCGATTTCAAAATGGACTTTTTTCTGTGAAAGGTCGTTAAGGTAACATATATTTTGGTTTTAATCGATGCAGAACAGTTTATTTTACATAATGGTTTCAATTCAGGCAGAAACGTATTTGAACTTATGTTAAACACACTTCTAAGAAACTTCTAACGTTCTGTAGCGAGCACGAGTGTGTTTGTGTGCGATAGGGCACACGTGTGCGTGAACGGCTTATCGATTCGCCGACTAGCCGCGGGCGCTTTTCTTCGTGGGCGCCGTATTTGTAAATATGTGTGTCGTACTTGCGTTCCGGGAAAGCAGTTAAACAGTTCACAGAAAAAATAAACTATCCGGATGTTTCCAGAAGGTTCCAAAAAGTAAACAAAAGAGTACTTAAAGGAAGAGACGATCGCCGAGAGAAGAAGAAACAAATTGACCGTCGCAGAAGTGAATCCAGAAATAAATTGACAGCGCAGTGAATAATGATATATCAACAGTAGTGTAAATAAATAGAATAATTCATAACATAAGTTTAAAAATAATTTAATAGTGTTTTTAAGTTGTTTAATAATTAGTGTAAATAAATAGTTTTTGTCGTTATCAGTCTTAGAAGTTAATTTTGTTAAACCCACGAACAATACAGTTCTTTATTAAATTTTTACTAAATCTCGTTTCCTTATATTGTTACGTTATGTCCTATTGGAAATGATGACGTTGACTGACATGCCATCTACATTATTTTTCTTACCTCGTACAGCATATAAAGACTAAACAGCACTTGGCCGCCATTGTATAATATGAGGACTTCCCTGAGTTTGAAAGGCTTCCTATCGCGCATCAGTCTTGGACCAAGGATGACGATGGTGTAGAGATAAGCGAGCACCATTAAGACGGTAGGTACCGGGCTGTGCATTAGCGGCCAGTCTGTCGTCCTTGGATCTACAAAACAAAACGAAAACGTGGTTTCGTACAATATTTTATTGTTAGGTAGGTAGGTACAAAGTAAATTTCTAAAAATATAATTTGTACATAACGGCCAAGTTATGGCCAGATGATACAACCAAGTCGTTTGCATTTAAATTTAATGATGGAAGATAACCTAGAGACATAACGTTCAAGAATAATTGCCCTGTTATTCACGGAAGAAAAATAAACAGGTCACTGTCCCATAATAGTTGTGTTTGCTTACAGTAAGTACGTATTGGGTAAGGATGGTTGGATTAATTTGCAGTTTCGTGTGCAATCGTTAACTACTGAATTCGAAACATATTTTTGAATTAAATAGGCGGATAGAAGAGTATTAAATAATACTGTTCAAAATTTTTAGAAACTGTAATGTTCTTCATCCGTAACTATTTGCGAACGACCCATCATGTATCAGGAAGGTGTCATCTCTTTATTTCCTTATTGACTTCCAAAGTACCCTCTTCTATCCACGGTACATTCATCCTCCGCCTATAACACCACAATTCAAATTTCTTCTTTTTCGCCGCGCTCACTGTCTACATTTCACTATTCATTCCCCTAGACAAAAATTTTCAGTCTGTCTCCAGTCTGTCAGAGTCTGTCAGAGTTTTTCAGCGTCTCTGAGAGCGTCTCTCACAATCTTTCACAGTCTCTCAGTTATTGCCTAGGTGTTTTTATGGATGTCTCACAGTCTCTGTATTAGAGACTCGAACGATAAAATTGTGAATTCAGAGATTCGCGTCTCCCACAGAGAGACTGAATGATTAAAACTGAAAAAATTGAGAGACTGGAGGCTCTCGTAGAAAGACTGGGATCTCTGAAATATGTTTAACTTAGAAACTTTTAACCATGTCTATCGAGACATCACTTATTGAGTTTTTTGACAGTCTCTTTCAGCGACACCAGAGAGACTCGATGAGAGACGGAGACCCGGGTCTCGCTTTTAGAGACTCTGAGAGACTGAACATTTTTATCTCGGGTCTTTTGTGACTCTTCCACTTTTTTGCATCCTGAATTATCTGATTCCTTCGATCTCTAAAATCGACGACTACTTTTAGTTTTTCGCCTCCTTTAAGGATCTCACTAACTCCTTCATGCAATAGAATCTTAACAAAACTATACACATCCTTGAATGTGAAGATACATTTTGCGAAAATGAACCTTAGATTACCCTGTCATCAAAGCAAAATTTTCGTGAAAGTTACAAATCTTATTCAAGGTTGAAATTGACGATTTTGAGATTTTTCTATACTGTAATGCTACTTTATTGATAGGTATTATGACAGACCGCGGCGTGGTCTAGTGGTGCGATTCCTGATCCATCAAATGCTGAGGATGGTTTTCACCCTTTCTATTGTCATCATCCCGTCCGTCGTCTTCAACTTAGTCTCGTCTTTCTCTTCCTAACCGTCACCTAATAATTCCAATGTTTCCTAAAGTAGGCTGAAGATAATTTTCCTCCATATTCCCTAGCTGTGTACTAGATACTAAAGAGTAAGTTGATTGGACAGCTCATTTACCTGTAGGTATTCCTGTATAATAGGTGTTTTCACATAACGCACAAAATCGGTTTCAGTTTCAATGTTCTCAAAATAAATTTCTTTGAACTTAAGTGTTCTGTTTTAAGCTCAAACTTTATTTTAATTTTGATTTTTTCTGTTAAATAAAGTCTTGTTTTATTTTTTGTAATAGTAAATATGTTACCGGAAATGTATGAAATCTAGGAATTGTATACAATTCCTAGGAAATGTATAAAACAAATGCTTTCTGTGAATAAAATACTCTAACATATCAGCCCGCCTCATTCATCATTTATTTCCCAGGATACGTATGTATTAAAAAATCTTTGAAACAATGTTTTATACATTTCCTAAATATTTTCGGAATTGTATACAATTCCTAGGTTTCATACATTTCCGGTAACAGATATATTATAACCAAATTGTAATTTTCATCTCTGACAAGAACAAGTCCCTGTTTCTCTTTACATAACATTGTCGTCATTAGCTTTAATAATTAATAATTAAATGCATCAATATCTATTATAAAATATAAAATCAGTGATGAGAAAAATTGGTGTTAGTTGATGCTTCAGTTTGATGACCCACAACAGAGTAATTTGCAAAAGTATCATCAATCAAGAAACATGATTGACCTTGTGAAGGTCTTTGTTTGATTGAAAAGAACCAGACTTAACTCATGTTTGTAATGTTCATTAAATTGTTTACCAATATAAATGGTAAATTAATTATTGTGAGTTATTCAATAAATGACGTTTTTAAAAAATGAAAACTCCAAAGTTCAAATTCAAATCTTCATCATTCTTAATTTAATTTCCTAATTAATCAGTTGGTATAATGCAGTTTTTTTAGGTACGTGATAGTTTTATTAGTGCTTTTTTATATGCGCGGGTTCAAATGGAGCGTCACTCGTCGTACCCGTAGGAGTTAGGAACTTTATCGAATTGGTCAGTAATTTGTTCCGATGATAAAATAGAAATCGCTATCCAAGTCTGCCAGTTGGATAACTACTGCCCAAGAACTGTAGTTACTGTTTTTATTAACTTTAGGTTATTTTTAGGGTTCTATACCTCAAAAGGAAAAACGAACTCATAAAGGATCATTGCGTCTATCTGTCTGTGAAGATCCTTCTCCTTAGTAATGCGTGGAGTTGTGAAAAAATCAATTTTCTAAGTCAAAGCAATCAAAAGATGTGACCGTTTATACAGCATATTTTGACACTCCCACGGGAATAAAAACTTATAGGGTACATCCCGTTGAAGCAGAATTTTGAAATTTTGCAAAACGCAATGTCTTATTAGTACAAATAACGGGAAAAATCCGCAAATCGTGAATATCTGGTTACATCATCATCATAATCATCATCATAAGGTCGTCAGTCCTAAGATTAGTTGGGCACGTACCTCCACTCTTTCCTATCCTGAGCTAACCTTCGCATTTCCTAAAACTAGAATAACCCACATCCTTAACTATTTACAAACAGTAATCTAATCTAGGTCTACCTCTACCCCTCCTAACTCCTGTTTCTGTCTCTAATATGTCTCTGACTAGACCTTTATGCCTGAGAAGGTGTCCTACTAACCTATCTCGCCTATTTCTTATTGACTTCCACAGACTTCTCTGTTCTCTTATTCTTTCTAACACCTCTTTATTTTTAACCTTCTCTATTCACGGTATCCTCATAATTCGCCATAACACTACATTTCTAACGCTTCTAACCTTTTCTTTTCCGCCGCGCCCACTGTCCATGTTTCACATCCGTACAACGCCGTGCTCCAAACATACACCTTTAACAACTTTTTTACATCATAAATAAATTATTTTTTCCATCATCATATTGTAATTATACGTTTTTGGGACTGACTTTGGGGGAAACTTTACAACATACTTGGAAAAAGCGCGAAAGATCTCTATTTGACATTTTCTTAAAAATACTTCCATTAAAATCTGCATACAGAACTCTATTTTGCTATCATCTTTACCTTGTCTTTGTCGTTTTGGGCCGTATATATGAATTTTGCTGACAAGTGTAAACGTACCCATTTATAATAACTATATTTTATGTAGGCAGTTGAGTAAAAAGAATGGCAACTGCCGTAGTCAACTATGGACACTTAAAAAAGAAACATCTAGTCATTTTGTTTATCCTTTTAATAACAGTACACTTTCGCCATATAACTGTTTGATGATACGTAATAATGATCTTTTTAGAAGGTCAAGTTTAGTTTGATCTTATCGTTAGTGACAAAAAACGAAAAACGAAAATTCTATTCATAAAGGATTACGTCACTTCATTTTTAGACAGAATTTTTTACACAACATGAATAAAGCTGAATTTAGTAATTACCGTACTAGTTGAATTAAAGATAATTAAATTGAGGGTGCCACCTACCGACACTCTCCATTTAATTATATTTTTACATAATCAGTTTTTATATTTTCAAATGAAGGTATGCCCAAAATGTTTACTGTACGCATTGTTTTTGAATTTCAAAGTGTGTAAAATTTAAATCATGATAAATTTAATTACGTGTTTTTTTTTGGCATCAAAACTAAGGAAAAAATGTGTGATTATCATCTCTAAGTAAAAATTATTTTTGTCATGTTAGAGCGGAAAGCTCGTTTTGCATTCTATGAAATAGGAAAGAAATGGCTTCTTTTCAGCCGTGTTTTAGTCGGGAGGAAATAAAATTAGTCTTTTGAGCGCATGCGCTCAAGTTTATGGGCATGCGCAGAAATCAATTGTTCAATGACAATGTCTTTCTAACCTCTAAATCATTTACTCTTATTTCGCCAACTATCAATTTAATGATGAGCTTTTCGCACAAACATGACAAAAAATAGTGTACGTATCTCTGTCTGAAAAGTAGATACTTCAGATTACGCGTTTGCCACTTTGCAACTCACTTTTCGGACCTCGATACGTAATGTACTATTGTTATTTCTAGGATGCTTAGCATATGTTTATTTGGGGACCTGGTACATTTGTGAACCTCACCCTCATTATCGTAATAATTTGCAAGTACGGTATCAGGTGAGACATTTGCGAACCTCTTACTCCTTATTATGTACAGAATTACGTAATATGTATTATTGTACATACAATACAATGTACACTATTAGAAATAACATGTAATAACAATACGTACTTGACATAACAAGCTACTGACTTTTTGAAAGCTCTCTTTTGTTTGTAATAATTTTGCATGTAATGAAAGCATCTCAAGAATTTCATAGGGTTGTTCGGAAAGTCATTTCGTTTTTTTTTTGTGGAAATGAAAGACAGTTTTCGTATAATAAACAAATACTTTATTAAATTATATATTGACCGTTCTGGTCCAACACCTTTTGCCATCTTTCTGGTAGTAGCATAATTCCACGCTCATAAAATTTTTGGTCTTTGCTGGCAAAAAACTGATCGAAGAGGTTTTTGACCTCCTCATTTGAGGTGAAGGTTTTACCGTCTAAAAAATTTTGGAGTGACCGGAACAAATAATAATCCGATGGTGCCAGGTCTGGACAATATGGTGGGTGTAGCATTGTATCCCATTCAAGCTGTAAAAGCTTTTTGCGAGTGACCAAACTTGTGCGAGGTCTCGCGTTGTCTTGGTGAAACACTACACCTTTCCTGTTAATTAGTTCTGACCTTTTCTGTTGAAGTGCATCATTCAGTTTGTCCAGCTGATGACAGTAGACTTCCGAATTAATCGTTGTGCTATCCGGTAAAAGCTCAAAAAAAAACGATTCCTTTAAAATCCCACCAAACAGACAGCATCACCTTTTTTTGGTGAATATCGGCTTAGGAAATGGTTTCAGCCGGTTCATCTTTTTTGCTCCATGACCTCTTGCATTTGACGTTACATACAACCCATTTTTCGTCCCCAGTGATGATGAGCTTCAAAAACGGATCATTTTCGTGACGTTTGAGAAGCGAATCGCAAACGTCAATGCGGCGACACAGATTTCTCTCTGTGAGAACATGGGGAACCCATACATCGAGCTTCGGGGATAATCCCAGGCCTTTCAAGTGATCATAAACTATTGAATTTGATAAATTTAACCTCAATCCGATCTCACGTGTTGTTATTCGCCGGCTCACATCAACTAATGCCTTTATCGCGTCTTTATCAGCTTCAACCAGCCTTCCCGAACGTGGTGCATCTTCGACATCAAAATTGCCGGATCGAAATTTAGCGAACCAGTTCTGGCACTGGCGTACTGTCAACACACCTTCTCCATACACATCAGTCAATTTCTTTCTGGCTTGAACAGCAGTTTAACCCTTTCTGTAGTAAAACAGTAAGATATGTCGAAAATGCTGCTTATCGCTCTCCATATTTAAAAGGGCACCAACCAAAAACTACTGCGTAGAATTAATTGGAATTTTTCACACACAAGCCTTGCTATAAGAGCTCTCAAAGCATATAAAAATTATACGGCTTAAATGTGAAATTGGGTGCAAAAGAATACAATTAAATCCTGTGTCGGGAAAAAACGAAATGACTTTCCGAACAACCCGATAGCTACTGTTACAAAATACTAACAATGTTATTTTATTTATCTGTATTCAATTAAAAATTATTATGTGTTGTGTATTTCTTGTTACAAACGTTCATATGTAATGAAATGGATCTTTACTTTTTATGGATTTTTATTTAGCATAATATGGGTTGTCGCACGTTTTACGGTCTATTATTTGTTGTTGTAAACAATCATTTTTATTGGCAATAAACCGCATGTAGTTAACCAGGTAGTTTACCGTATATTTATTTTATCACCTTGTGATAGCATTAGATGATGCTTTGTAAGTTAATGAAAACGCACAAACGTCAAGGTTATAAATAGGAATATCTTCAGCTTTTTAACTGTGAGAAATAAGCTTTTTATAATTAGTTCCTTGTAAAATTAAACGACAAGTCTTTCATCTTGTGTAAATATACAATGTATGCCATTAGTCATATTACGAATAAGTGTGCTGAATTGTTTGCAATGATCGTGGAATAAATTAGAACTGTATATTTTTAAGTCTGCTACTTAAAATTTAAATGTCCTTACAAGTTACTCTTTCAAATTCTCAATCGTATGGTCCTCCTAATCAAATATTTAATTAGTTAATATACTTACAAATAATGTGTTCGGTAATTGTTCTCAAAATTGCAAAAGATTGAATGAACTTAAGTGCCTACAGTATTTTTATACTTGACCAAGAAGAATTTACATCAATCAGAGATAATTTAAATATACTGGCGTATAAAAAACTACTTAAATTCTGTTCATATATATAGAAATGTGCAAAATGGTTTTTTAAAAGTATTTAAATACAAAATGCAAATACTTTTTTTGATTTCTCATTTCAAATGTAATATACAAAATAGATTTCCTTTTTGTATTTTAAGTGCTAAACGCAAAATACGTATTTTCAAAATCCTTTTTTCAAATAAACACTTTTTTGTAATACCTGCTTAATTTTATATTGTACATTCATTTAAGTATAGAATATTTTTCAAGAAAACCTTGCAGGCATTTTAAATATTGGAATTTTTCTAAAATAATAGTAGTATTTGTATTAGATATATCATCAGCTGCGAAGATTGAGTATAATTCATATTTTCCTGTTTGAAGTGATTGTGATATAGTTTTTCTAGTTTTATGTTATAATTTCTTCAGTTCAGCAACAAATAATTCTTCCGTATGCTTCCTTATTTACCTTTGTCATCCGTTTTAATTAGAAAAAAGAGACTGTTGCCAAAATAGTTCGTTTAGCGTGAAAGATCAGAGCCAAAATAGGGTTGCAAATAATTTTATTGATAAAAAATCAACATCAAAATATTTATAACCATTTTGTTTCTGTTCTTTTACACATTGTAATAAGAGAAGGAAATGGAATCCATATTTTCTTTAACTTTGGATTCATCTAATAAGTGAAGTTTTTCAAATTTGGATTATACGTATTTATTAGCACAGCGCAATATCTTGTAGTTTTCAGTTTTACACGGCTGGCTATATCATGTATGCGGAGTTAGCGGAGCGAGGGGAGTCATCTGATCAGGTGATTTATTGCATTCACAGATAACTCTGATTCTCAGTTTACATTAGTTTTATACATTTCCTGGTACAACATCGGAATTTCATACAATTCCTAGGAAATGTATACATTTCTCAGGATATGCGTGTATTAAAAAATGTTTGAAACAATATTTTATACATTTTACATGCGTGAGATTTTTAAATACAGTCAAAGGTACTTACCACTTATCCTATCTACAATGTCGACATATCTGTCTAAAGCTAATCTAACCAAACTAGCCATTTCCTGAAACAAATAATAAAATAATTTTAATAAATGTTCTTGTCGCTTTTGAATGAAATATGAGATGTATTAATTAGAGATAGGCTCGGCATCCGGTTTGAATCCGGCACTTTTCGTAGGCTCCGACCAGGTACCGGATAATGACATGGGGTACCAGAAAAAAAGAAAAAGCGAAAAAAAATTAGATTGTATTGAGATAGGTCGTTTGTTCTAATAATTTTTATTTATTGATTACTATTTCTTATACACTAAATTACTTGTTAATTGGAAATGGTTTCAGCGATTTCAACAGGAGTGTATTTATGAAGAATTTCATTTCTTGTGGATGCCTTCAGAATTAAAAAGAGATATACCTACATGATTTTAGATACCTAGAAAGTTAGATAAGTCAGGATGGAAGGNGGAAGGAGTAGTAGGGATATAAAGCAGAGGATAGCGCAGGATCGTGTCGCCTTTAATAAAAAGAAGTCACTTCTATGCTCGCGAACGGTTAATTTAGAAATTCGAAAAAGGTTCTTAAAAGTGTATGTTTGGAGCACGGCATTGTACGGGTGCTAAACATGGACAGTGGACGTGGCGAAAAAGAAAAAGTTAGAAGCGTTTGAAATGTGGCGTTATAGGCGGATGATGAGGATATCGTGGGTAGAAAAGGTTAGAAATGAAGAGGTATTGGAAAAAATAAGAGAACAGAGGACTCTATGGAAGTCAATAAAAAATAGGCGAGATAGGCTGGTAGGACACCTTCTTAGGCCTGAAGGTCTAGTTTGAGACATATTAGTGGCAGAAACAGGAGTTAGGAGAGGTAGAGGTAGACCTAGATTAGATTACTGTTCGCAAATAGTTAAGGATGTGGGTTGTTCTAGTTTTAGGGAAATGCGAAGTTTAGCTCAGGATAGGAAAGAGNAGAATTGTATTCTTTATGAGAACCCCAGAAAATTGGAAAAAGGGATATTAAGTAATTATTAATTGTAGACTACTTCAAATGTTAGTTTAATTCAGCTATAATTATAATCGAAAAAATTGACTCGAAGAAGCTTTAATTCACACAGTTTTAGTTGAAAATAAGTACTTATATATTTTTAATTAATTGTTTGTGAATACATTCTGTGAGCTTTTATATTGAAGTAAATGTTTTTGGAATAAATTTGCATAAAAGTAATTCGAAAGTCAAGATTAATACTAAAATGCTTTTTTACATATCTACATGAACTTATTATTTATTGATTTAGAAATTTCCGAAATTTATTTTCTCAATGGCAATTTTATTTACTTTCCAAAGGCAATGAGTTTTCGTTGTTAGTGTTAAGAGCAAACAATATCAACCTTGTGTTCCTTTGTGGGTTAAAGCGACTTTGAAAATGGATAACATGATGGCAAAACAAACGCTAATTTAATTTATAGACATAAGGAAGGCGGTTAGTCTTTACGTGGTGGGTAAAATAAATTCAATTGGTGAATAAATAATCAGGTTGTAATTCGTAACTTTTACAGAAAGTTTGTTCCTGAAATTGAAATTCACCTTGGCAGTGTCCTTTAAGAATAAATTATAGAAAAAGCTTTTCATAAATCGTAGTGTAATGTGTAATTGTACGTTATTTTGCTAATAAGGTGTAATCCTCGGCTAGAGGTCAATTTCTGATTGAGGATTACAGTTTGGGTGTCGAAATGTGTGTTAGGTGTAGATTTTTGGGTTTTAGTGTTTTATTTAGTTCAGACGGAACTCACTTTCTTTTATCCATAAAATAATTTTAAATTTAGTTTCATGTGCTAACTACTCTAAAAAAATGAACTAATCCAGGGTTTCCTAAATTTATTTTTACTGTGACGTTCACAGGAGTTTTGCGACGCCACCCTCTGACCAAAAAGTACCTACTACTTATAGTTGTATAGTCTAGTAAAAAGTTATCGGAAAAACTCCAAATAACATTTATAATTTTTATTAGAAAATAAAAACAAAAACAAAACAAGACTACAATGCCGCAGCTCCCCACGCCGTCGCGATGCACAGTTAGGAAATCCCAGAATTAACCGATGTATCTTACAAGACCTTATCGGGAAAGATGATGTTGATTATGCTGATGTTCAACTTTACCGTCTTTTATTGTACCTACCGTTTTCTTAAAAGTTTCGCAAGCAATTAGTCGGTTCGATATACTTATGCGTACTATTACCTATTATGTAACGATTATCAGTTGCTTAATAGTTTTCCACTTGCAGATTTCACCGATTCATAATCAAACGCCTCGGCTCGACGGTGAAAATTTATTGTGATCTAAACCGCGATAACTCTTCGTAATAACTACGTATCATTTTTCGGTTAGGCGTATATTGTGTCCTTAATTAATTTTGCACGTTTTCAACCGTTTATTACTGTATAAATGTAATAAATCATTAATTATTTAATTAGCGAATTCGACTTGCCTTAAATTACGAATGTTTCAGATAATAATATATATTAATGTCGGTTAGTTATCAGATGATTTAGCAGTATTAGCATCTAGCAAGGAGGATTTAGAGATAGCTTTAAATAAAATGGAAGCGGTACTGACAGATCAGTACTGTATGAAAATAAATAAAAGTAAAACTAAAATACTAGTATGCAAGGGAGGAAAAAGTAGGGAAAGAGCGAATATAAAGATAGGAGACGAAAAATTAGAAGAAGTGGCAGATTTTAGATATCTAGGAAGTCAGATAATTCAGGACGGAAGGAGTAATAGGGATATAAAGCAGATGATAGAACAGGGTCGTGTCGCCTTTAATAAAAACAAGTCACTTCTATGCTCGCGAACGGTTAATTTAGAAATTCGAAAAAGGTTGTTAAAGATGTATGTTTGGAACACGGCGCAGTACGGGTGCGAAACATGGACAGTGGGGGCGGCGGAAAGAAAAGGTTAGAAGCTTTCGAAATGTGGTGTTATATGCGAATGATGAGGATAACGTAGGTAGAAAAGGTTAGAAATAAAGAGGTATTAGAATGAATAGGAGAACAGAGGACTCTATGGAAGTCAATAAAAAGTAGGCGAGATAGGTCGGTAGGACACCTTCTTAGACATGAAGGTCTAGTCAGAGATATATTAGAGGAAGAAACAGGAGTTAGGAGGGGTAGAGGTAGACCTAGGTTAAATTACTATTCGCAAATGGTTAAGGATGTGGGTACGTGTCCAACCAGTCTTAGAATTGATGACCCACCCTATGATGATGATGAGTTATCACGTAGCAAAAGAACAATTTAATCGAAAGTATGGGAAGCTGTGTACTTTCTGTAGGTACTGTTGCGCTATCTTTTGGTCAAATGAAAAAAGTTTGACGTTATACATATTAGATATGTATAGAGATTGCATGTACGTAATAAAAAAGATAATTATAAAGGAAAGCCGTTCAACTTTTGATACTATTTTTAGTTATTGAAATTTAAGTATCACTTTTAGTTTTTTAATTAACAAATATGCATATTAAAAGATTAAAACGGATGCTAAAGCTTCAAATGATGATGGTAAAAACTACTATTTTCAATTTAAGAATAATTACGATACAGAGAAGTAAGAAATTTATTTATTTTAATTTATTTATGAGTATAGATGAATAGATTGTATTACTTGCTTTAAATGCGACAGTTGCTCAAGCAATTATTCATATTCTCGCGCACTAAGTAATTAAGAAAAGCAACTAGCCAATGATAAATGATGTTGGTATTACAAGAAACAGCAAAAATGGATGTTACAGCACACGTCATTGTAAAAAAAGTTACATAGGAACGAAGTTTAAAACTGAAATGGCTTGCAATGAAATTTTTAAGAAAAGAGAATTGTATTCTTTATGAGAACCCCAGAAAATTGGAAAAAGGGATATTAAGTAATTATTAATTGTAGACTACTTCAAATGTTAGTTTAATTCAGCTATAATTATAATCGAAAAAATTGACTCGAAGAAGCTTTAATTCACACAGTTTTAGTTGAAAATAATTTTGTTTGAACACATTATTTCATCAAAATATTCTCACATCTAAAGAAACCACAGTGGTTAAATAAATTTTATTTGTAATTGAAACTTTGATTACTTTCGTATTTAAATTTAATCAGTAACTACAGTACTTATTTGTCCTTTTTTGCATTTTAATATTTAGTAAACTGTACAATCGGCGCATCAAATAGGAAAATTGCAACTTAGTGTAACTTCTAGGTATAAAGATATAACCTGAAAATTAGGGAAATCCCCTTAATTTATGAGAAGTGCAATACGATTTCTTTGAAGTGAAAACGTTGGTCTTTAATAAACAAATTAATAGATAAATTTTTATTCGTATTCTAATTAACTACAAATTGATTCTTTGTGTCATTAAATGACTTGCAATGTCACTTTTGTATAAAACCTGTACTTATAGTAGGTATATAAAAAGTAATAGTAGTTAAAAATAAAAATAGGCATTTTGTTTTTCCGTAAATTCCCGATTCAGTCCTTGTTGTTTCCTAATTGCCATAATTTCGTTATAATGTCATTTCTTCTAAAAGTCACGTTTATCACCAAGGCTTAAATTATATGGTAAATACTGCGATTTTTGTTTGTACGTGTGTATGTACCATATATTTTTATTAATAAAAATACAGTTACACAACACATAAAATGCTTAGTTGTAAAATAACGTCAAGTGACGAAAAACAAATAATCAGTGTACAAAATTTTCATTTTATCTAAGTATTTGTTGTTTGTACCAGAAAAGATAATAAAAAGTGTCTAATTACTACCATATTGATATACTTAAATAGTTCGAACGTTTAAAATTGGCATAGTCCGAATATCGTAAGCATAAGAAAGAGATGTCAGGTGGGAATTGCAGCGGACACAGAAAGAGATGCAAACAAACAGAATTTGAGCATGTTGCCACTATCGGACTTTAAAGAAAGTTCAACATTCTCAGGAATTTCGGAAATTAAAGACGCTTGTTTAAAGATATAATTCCAATCAGACTGTTACAAAACCGACCCTAATCTTTAACGTACCTAAGC